TGTCCCCCCCCCCCCCCCCCCCCGGTCGGCTGGGGAATGGGGGCTCTAGGAGAAACGCCACTGGCACTTCCAGGTTGGTGCAATTGGCCACAGAGGGGCGCACCTCAGTCACTGACTGGTTGCTGTCCCCCTGACTCAGGAAGCACCAGTCGCCTGTCTTTTATTATTGTTTTTGAAATAAAAAACCTGAATTTAGAATTGTTTTGATTGTTTACCATAAATTTGTATTGGAGACTAAAACCTTTTGAGCTTTGAGAAGAACTCTTGTCTTCCATCAGTGGCAATTGCCTTTGAAACAGGTGAAACTATGACCAACTTTTAGGGAGCAAAATCAGGGAGGCAGCTCCATGTACTCGGCAGACCTTCAAAATAGAAAGCTGTTTTCACCACTTCTGGTTTTGCTTATTTTGGCTGCCGTACTGTCCTGCTGGAGACAGGCTAAGAACCTTTGCCTCTGAAAGCTGTTTACTGAAGCTGCATCCATGTGGCACAGAGCGGGTTAATTTATTGCCCTGAGAATAGTGCAACGTTAATGCAGTTTATGCTACTTCTGGTTCAGGAGGCAGCCTCTAACTAACTTGCAGCCTGGAGTAGTATAGGTATAGGTGTATTTATACAGTGTGAAGTAGTCATTTTGCTTTCTCTCAGTAGACATAGCAGGACAAGCATAGGGTTTACCTTTTGTAGGGGCCGGGAGGAAGTTCTTGTTAAATGGTTCAGTACTGGCTACCCTACTCTTTACTAGGCAAACATACTGTTGGTAGTGGAGAAATTTATGGCTACTACTTCAGGACAGAGCCTTGCCATTTTAAGAACCCATGCAATTGCCAGGTTTCTGTTGCTCTGTCACTTCCATGATCAGGACCAGTGTGATGCTAATTAAGGATGAGTTTCTCAAATACAGAAGGGGAGCCTTCGATAACTCTGGGGCATACTCTGGAAGTTTGGAGTGGTCCTGGTTACTCTAAATGCTTTTACAGCATTTTTAAGAAAAAAACTTCTCATAGAGGTTGGGGGCCTGGTTTTCCCCAGAACTTCTAACCTTGTTTACTCATTTCCCTCAGAGGTGCATCCTTTCCTACTTTCTGTTAGTTTTGGTTAAATGTTTCCTTAAATTGGAAACTATTTTGTTGCTTAGAAAGGTAATGCCACTTTCGAATAAGTAAGTGCACTTGAAATGATTATGTGTATCATGTCAATGATGGGAGTTATTTTGGTTTCTTAAACTTTTAAATTGCCTACTTTATTTGTTTCCTTCAATCTTCAGTAGCTTAATGTCTCTTAATCCACAATTAGCATACTTGCATTTGTTTAATTGAATTTAAACTTCTACTTTCTGGATAGAAATTTTATCATGTACCAACTGGGCATGACAATAATATATATATATACACACACAATATATATGTATGCAACTGGGCATGCAATATGTGTGTGTGTGTGTGTACACACCCTCTCTCTCTCTCTCTCTCTCTCTCTCTCTCTCTCTCTCTCTCTCTCTCTGCCTTTTATCGTGGGTGGGGAATACCTTTTTCAAGTCACCTTGTATATTCCATTTTTGTATTTGGGCCCTCAGTAAACTAATTCTCTTTCTCTCCCAACTCCTTTAACCACTATAGTACTAAAGACCTAAGAGTGTCATACAGAGATTTTGTGCTTTTTTTACTTTGAAATTCCTGCCACCTTGTGGCTAACTAAAATCAGCAGTTGAAATGTACACTAACTTCTGATAGTACAGGTCCATATAACATTTGCACATAATTCAGCAAATATATATATTTTCTTCCCAGAATTTGAGTACTCCATGTGATATCCATTCATCCTCAAGTGTCTGCTGACTAGTATGTTCTAAACAAATATTGCATAGAACTTGTGCCATGACTGGTTTTTAGAGGTGTACCCCAGCTGTTGAAATTTTGTTTCTCCTTGAATTTGCTGTTTTTATTTTCTTATCTCCTTTTAAAACTTCCAACCTTTTCCCCAGATAACTTACTTTGAAATTCTGTCTTAATTATCTGAGGAATATGAATGTGTAGCCCAGAAAAAGAAACTGTTAAAATTGCATTTTGAATGTCATGTGAGAGAGCATGGCTTCAAGAATAAAATTAAAGAACTGAAAATACTGCATGGCAAGATGTTTCATTCATATTCTTGATCTGCCAACTCTGACTGAATTTCCTTACTTTCACATTGGTTTCTAACTTAGAATGGAGTGCAAAAAATGAAGTGAATCCCAACAGACGACAATAAACTTATATCTGATTCACTGGGACCAGGCTTCGTTTACGATGTGAAGTAGAAATAATTGAAAGCAGCTTTCATTTGAAGCAGAGAAAGTAGAGGCCAGCATAAGTTTTTGTGAAAGGAACTGAAACGATACAGATTAGATGAGACTGTTGAATGGTGAAGGATTGTGTGGAATATGTATCCCATACTCTAGCATAGTCCTCTGTGCTTGCATGAAATAGACACCTGTGAGCAGACTGGTGAAAAGGTGACTATTTGCTATGAATGTTCAATCATGGACTCATGGATTACAAAGGAAAATTTTCCTTCCCAATTGAAAAAGTGCTATCTCAGATATTAGTTTAATGTTTAAGAATTCAACCTTTCAGGATTAATAACAATTTTAAACTACTTGAAGCAAAGGCCATATTGTCATATGCCTTTCTACAGTATTTAATACAATGGTGTATGAGTGGGACACCCATATGTTACTGTAGTATAAATAATATAAAGCTAGCATCTAGTAGGGTTGTTTGATACATAGCTTACTGTGTACATAAAGTTGGCTGACTTCTCATCTTGGCCATCCACTGATGAGCAATGGTTACTGGTTAGCTTGTGTTTTAATAGCAGCATGTGCATTAGTATGTGTTGGTCAGTGTTATATAACAAGGTTGACATTATACTTTATAAAGAACTGTAAATCTGTTTAGTAGTAATATTTAAAAACATTATCATTAGCCTATTTTTTATTTGGTTTGAGCTTTAGAAATTAATTTTGGGGGCTGCTTTTTTATGTTATCAAAATATGGGAAAAAGTGGGAGCTGATTTGCATGTAGTTCTGAAAAAAGCTGGTGACCAAAGGAAAAACTTATTTCAAGTGAGACAAGAGTCTAGAACTTTAAAAAGAGCACGTAGCAGACTCGGGTCATCAAATTCAAGATAGTAGTAACAGTAGTAGATATGGTAGTGTTCTTTGCCTTTTACCCCCAGAAGGTTAATTGGATCAATAGCTCTCCATCTCCCTGGGCTCTTTGGAATTCTGTAGTAGACTCTCTTTTCCTGGTTGTTGTTTATGTAGGGCACTGGGGATTGCTGAGGAAGTAGAATGAACTAAGATATTAATTCTGCTAACAGTCACCCCATCACCTCCCTTCTTCCTACTGCTGCTGCCACCCGCCAAGTGCAGCCCTGGCCCAGCCCCAAGCCCACAGCGGCAGCCTGCTCTTGCCCCACACACTGATCCAGGGGGCACATGCCTCCCCTGGCAGTGCACACTGGTGGGAGCCACCCACCCCAGTTGGGCAGCACCTGCCCCAGCCCCACTCCCTCCCTCACTGCAGGGCCTCCGTCTGCCCCCCCTCATGCTCCTTCCCCCCCAGCAGACTTAGCAGCTGCACAAGCTGCCAGGCTGCATATTGGCATTCGGATTGGTATTGGCTGATATGGCTCGTTAATAATCAGCTGTTGGTACTGGACCCAAAAAATCTTAATCGTTGCACCCCTAGAAAATAGTCTGAGGATTTTAGCACACCTGCAACAGATGGGTGCAGACGTGTTCTTATGGTAGAATCCCCACATCAGTAATGTCCAGTGATGATTTTCTGTCAACACCTGACTCGGAAAAAGACTGTTCTTTTCAGCTGTAACTTGCACTACTGTGTAATCATTATCTTTGTCATCTCAAGACTGGATTGCTGAATTTCTCTCTGTGGGATACATATGAAGTCATCCCAGAAACTGAAGCTGACCTAGAATGCTACAGCTCTCCTACAGAACTGTCACTTCTTACCTGTATATTGATTTCAGAGGAGAGTTAAAGGTGTTGCTTTTGAATGCTGTGCGAGTCTCCAGATGTGTGGCTTGGGACCTGGTCCTCAGGTTGCCTCTAAGCAGTAGTGGCATCTGAGCCCATTCATATACAAGAGACGCTGCCAGTAGGTCATTTTATGCAAGTGCATTTCAGCTTGAGCTTCAATAACTTGTTTTCCCCCCCTTTCACTTCTTAGTCC